CACTTCTCTCGTGGATGCAGAGCTCAAAGGCCCTCGGGAAATGGGGAGGGACTACTGAGACGGGACCAGCAGTAGTTCAAAACCCAGTGTCCCAAAGTGAGCAACGCCAAGGTGAGCAACGAAGTCCTCTTCAAATTTCCACAGCAACAACAAACAGTGCTCAGTCAGCCATAAGTGAAGTTCACTACCTGCCTCCTCAGCGAAAGTCACAGTTAATAAGCCTTGTTGGTAACAGGTGTACAGTTAATTGTTATATGGATAACCACCCAGTTAAAGTGTTGTGGGATACCGGGGCACAGTCCAGCATAGTCAATGAAAACTGGCGGCAGAGATATCTTCCCCATACTGCTGTACGGCCCATTGCAGAGCTGTTGGACGGTGAGACCCTTACAGTATATGCTGCCAATGACACGCCCATTCCATATATTGGCTGGATTGAAGTCAGCTTCAGACTTGAGGGTGATGTATCCAGAGCAAGTGAGCTACAAGTGCCCATATTAGTGTGCAATGATCCAGCTGTGGCCAGTGATCCCATTATTGGTTATAATGTGATCGAGACTGTGATGAACAAAAGTGAAGTAAAGACTAAAGGGGGACAAAAACAGCTTGCACATAGAGTTAGTAAAGCTTTTGAAATAACAGTTCAAGTTGCACACAACATTGTCAAGTTGGTACAAAACAGCAGAGTAGAGACTGGTGTATTACGTATCGGTGTCAGAACCATCAAATTACCAGCTAACAAAGTCACCATAGTCTATATGCGGGCACATGTTAGTCCAGGGGCCAGAGGTCAAGATATGTTGTTTACACCTGACCCACCACCAGAGGGAGTTGTATACAATGATGCACTTTAATGATGATTAAAATTCCTGATAAGAAAATGCCATATGTGCCCATTCCTGTAACAAACAGTACACATCACACCATGTATTTAGCCAGTCATGAAGTAATCGGACACTTAGAGTCAGTCAAGACAGTTTATTGTGCAAGCATTCCAACAGGAGAATCAAACGAAGAGAAACAGAGTACAGGGTTAAAATCACACCAGTTGAGTCACACAGACAAGCGAGAGATAGAAGAAACAGAGAGACCAAAGTCATGGGATCCACCCGTTGATCTTCAACACTTAACACAGACGCAACAAGAGACAGCAAGGAAAATGTTGAGGGAAGAATGTGAGGCGTTTTCATTTGATGACGATGATGTGGGCTGCATACCATCTCTAAGAATGCACATAACCCTACATGACCCCAGTCCAGTACAAAAGACCTACATGTCTGTCCCAAAGCCCCTTCACAATGAAGTCAAAGAGTATTTGCAAGACCTGCTCAACAAAGGATGGATCACGCCCTCAAGGTCGCCCTACTCATCGCCTGTGGTTTGTGTGCGCAAGAAAGATAGCACTCTCCGTCTTTGTTGTGACTTTAGGGAACTCAATAGAAAATCAGTCCCGGACCGCCACCCAATACCTCGGATTCAGGACATGTTGGATGCGTTAGGTGGGAGCTCATGGTTTTCAGTTTTAGACCAGGGAAAAGCGTACCACCAGGGTTTCCTAGATGAAGACAGCCGCCCGCTAACAGCTTTCATCACCCCTGGGGACTGTATGAATGGGTGCGCATTCCATTCGGCTTGAGCTCCGCACCTGCTGAGTTCCAGAGGAGCATGGAACATTGTTTGGCTGGTCTCAGAGACACTACTTGCCTCCCGTACCTGGATGACAATCTAGTACATAGTAACTGCTTTGAAGATCATGTTGAGCACATCCGTCTGGTCCTCCAGCGTTACAAAAAGCATGGTGTGAAATTAACCCCAAAGAAATGTGAGCTTTTCAGGTGCAGTGTCAAATTCCTCGGAAAGCTGGTGACGGGGGAAGGCTATACCATGGACCCGGCAGAGATGGCGCCAGTGAGGGCTCTGAAAGAAAAGACACCGGTAACAGTCGGAGAGGTACGTCAAATGCTGGGATTCCTCTCATACTACAGGCCCTTTATCCCCAACTTTTCCCGTGTGGCCCATCCGTTGTACAGCCTGCTCAGTCCTCCAGCTCCTGTTAATGACACTCCAATCCGAGCAGAGAAGTCAAAAAAAGGGGTTATCAAAAAAAATAAAGGCCACTTACCATCACGCACTCCCACCCAATGGACTAGCTCACACCAGGAAGTGCTGAACCAACTTATAGACGCCCTTACCAAACCCCCAGTCCTCGGATATCCAGACTTCACCCAGCCTTTTGTGTTACACTGTGATGCCTCACAAGTTGGTTTAGGTGCTGTCTTGTACCAGAGACAACAGGGGAAGATGAGAGTGATAGCATTTGGCTCTCGCACCTTAAGCCCTGCAGAGAAAAAGTACTACCTACACTCTGGCAAGTTAGAATTTCTAGCGATGAAGTGGGGCATCTGTGAACGTTTCCGGGATTACCTGTACCATGCTGTATCATTTGTGGTATACACAGATAATAACCCGTTAACATATGTGCTCACATCAGCGAAACTCAATGCAACAGGCCATAGATGGCTCGGGGAGCTGGCTGATTTCAACTTCATAATACGCTATCGTCCAGGCAAGAATAACGCTGACGCTGATGGACTGTCTCGCATGCCATTAGACATTGGAAACTACATGAATACGTGTACAGCTGAAATCACACAAGAAGCTATAAGTGCATCCATGGAATCTGTGACAGTGGAACAGAGTGACCCCTGTCAGGGTGTGGGGGTAATCCAGGTCAGTGCTTTAACACTGATAAAGGACTCTAACACAAATACACCTCTCACCCCAAACCAGATTCGCAAAGCCCAAGAAGAAGATGACATTTTTGCCAGAGTCATTTGGCATAAGTCACAAGACAAGAGACCAAGTAGAGCCGAGGTAAAATCCGAGCCTCCTGCTGCCGCCTCACTGCTCAAGCAATGGTTAAAGCTTCACATTGATCCAGATGGAGTCCTACGCCGTAAAACATTGCACCGAGAGCAGATACTGCTTCCTAAAATCTTTCGTTCCCTGGTCTACAAAGAACTGCACCAAGATATGGGGCACTTGGGGGTAGAGAGGACACTCGATGCAATCAGGGAAAGGTTTTACTGGCCACAAATGAGTAAAGATGTAGAACATTTTGTGACAGAAGAATGCGAGTGCCTCAAGAAGAAAAAGCCAAGTAAACAGACACGTGCACCCTTAAAATCAATCCATACTTCATATCCATTCCAGCTGGTGTCCATAGACTTTGTCCACTTAGAAAAGTGCAAAAATGGCTATGAGTACATTTTAGTAGTTATGGATCACTTCACGAGGTTTGCTCAAGCCTACGCTACAAGAAACAAAACAGCCAAAACAGTAGCTGACAAATTGTTCAATGACTTTGCGCTCAAGTTCGGATTCCCTACAAAGTTACATCACGATATGGGCAAAGAGTTTGAAAACAAGTTGATGGCAAGACTAAAAGAACTGTCAGGCATCCAAGGTTCTCACACCACGCCTTACCATCCACAGGGTAATGGACAGGTGGAGAGATTTAACCGCACACTGTTGTCCATGCTGCGCACCCTGGAGGACAAAGAGAAGGAAGATTGGAAAGAGTCACTTGCTAAAGTTGTTCATGCCTACAACTGCACCAAAAGTGAAGCAACAGGTTACGCTCCATATTATCTTGTTTTTGGTCGTTCCCCCCGTTTGCCTATTGACATGCTGTTCAACATAAAAAAAGAAGAGTCCCACGTTGACTATAATGACTATGTGATTAACTGGAAAGAGAGAATGCAAGAAGCATATGACATTGCAGCAAAAACAGCTGTTAAAGAAGCAGCTCGAGGAAAGTCATACTACGACAAGAAAGTTAAAGGTAGAGATCTTCGGCCAGGTGATCGGGTTCTACTCAGGAACCTTACACCCAGAGGTGGGCCCACAAAGATTCAGTCCTATTGGGAAGATCAAGTCTACACCATTCGAGAGAGGAAAGCTGAAGATAGCCCAGTGTATCAAATAAGTCCCACTACCGGCCTCTGAAGCCTCGCAACCACCGCCTCCCCTCCTCCTCCTCTTCACCCTGCCTCCAACCTGCCTTCAATTTTCTTCCCGCTGCCAAATGCCGCCACCAGTGCCTAGGTCCCGGGGGATTGTGCGCGCTCATCGCAGGAGCCTTTCCGATCCGAAGGCCGCACCGGGGCCTAGGGCGCCAAACCTCCTTTCATAAAATACTCAACTTCCTGTTTCTCGTCTCTCCAAATTGAATTACAGTTATTGCACCAGAATGTCAAAGAAAAATCCGTCGTTGTTGTCTGAGGAGAGGTGCCGTGTTACCGGTCCACACATTTATGACAGAAATAGTAGCAAACCCTTCAGTCTTGTTGGAACTCTTCTCTCACATTGGATTAGTCTTTGTTTTACATTTCAGGAATCTTGAAGCGACACATATTTAGAATCATTTAAATGGATTTTTACATATTTTGCCTGAACAGGATGAAAATACTACAACAATATATTGAGTTAGTTGTTCATGTTTAATACTTTCCCCCTATTTTCATGCTCTAAACAAATACAACAAATATTCAAAGGATTATTGTCACAATAGTCATTAGTATATGAAAAGTATGACTTTTTTGGCTATTTTGTTTCCCACATTTTATAAAGGTAAAATTTGAAAATAATAATAAATAAATAATAAATAATAGCAATATCAAAAAACAAAAAAGGACTTTTGTATTGACATTACAAACTTTACTGTATTTGGCACCAACCTGTTTCCATCCAACAGTGGTCACCTCATGCACTGGTGCCCGCACGCAGTCAATGGCACACGCACGCACACGCACACGCACACTCTCAGTCTTGCTGACAGTTGTGACACATTCCAACAGTGCATAGACGGAGGGATTAGTTTGACCAGGTCCAGTGTGTTGTGGCAGCACGTGTCGCTGGACAATATGGTCAGTAGAGTGTGTGTCTATGGTCAGTAGAATGTGTGTGTCTATTGTGGTGTGTGTCTATGATGGTGATACCTGGATCCATGCTGCTGTCAGGATGAGAGGCGCGCATATAGCAGCAGGACGTCATTGCGCTGGTACATATGGTCGGAGGGAGGTGGCGTGTGCTGTCATCAGACGCGGTCCACCAGTCGCATGAACGCACCAGGGGGGAGTTTGTGTGTGCATGATTAACATGTACCTGGTGAGGGGACAAGGGTCTGCCTGCGTGACGAGCGCCACAGATCAAACACCAGCTGTTTTCCGCACAGCGCATGTACTGTCAAACTAAACACACTGTGATATATTTTACTATGTGGGACACACTGTAACGTCATATAAGCCTAATGTGCACAAAGTGACGGATTCTATAGTGTCAGCTCGGTATTTCCACAAGGAAAGTTCATTTGTATAGCACCATATGCAACTCAAAGTGCTTTACTAAATAAGGAAATACATTCAAATCATATATGAAATCATAACACACAACTTAGCTGAACTTCAGCGTTTGTCCACGTTTTAACTTCCATCAGCAACCCGACCAATGTGTTGCGTCATCTGCCATCGTGACGTGGCGCTTGGCACAATCAAGATGGGTTAGTAACCTCGATCCATTCAAATGAATGCATGAATTATATTCTTTGTTTTATTTCCATTTCAGTTAAATGCACAATGCCACATAACACGCGTTTACACAGTGAAATGTCAGGTTTTATTGAGAGGTTCAAAAGTATAAGAACATGAGAAAAATCATAGAAATAAGGCTTCTTTACGCACACACACGCACAACCGCACGCGCGCGCGCGGACACGCGCGTAGAGGTTTTAAGACCGAGAATAGAGGTTTTTTGTCCTAAATCACTGGATGTCTATGGATGAATAACAGACCTAAGAGCATTGACTGAAAGTTGAAAATGAAATAGTTTGATGTTGTTCAACCAGTGGGTAATACGTAATCCGTCAAAATGATGTGACTTGGTTTTCTATAAAAAACCCTTGATGAGATTGACTTTGCATTGTGAACAAAGGCTGCAGAGTTTCATTTTGTACCAGTTTCAGCCGGTGGTGTGCTATGTGGTTGATTTCAATAAAAGAAGTGTGCCACTCTCAAACAGAGGGAGACTGATCAACAGTGTTGTGTTGCATATATTTGACAGTAGATGGCAGCAGAGGGGCACAGCCAGAAGAGGTGAAAAGATGTTTAAGGGTCCAAACCATGGATCTATAATAGTAATACAAACGCAGAAAGAACAGTAACCGGGAAGCCGCGCTGTAAGAGCCCGAGATGCCTCCCTTTGTTTGTTTGTTATGACACTTTCTTCAACAGAATGTTAGGAACAGTTCATCTGTATGTGATGAGTCCTTTCCTGTGTTGGTTCATATGTCAGTCATCAGTGTGAATAAAACTGTGTTCTCAGTTGGCCTGCCTAGTTCATGAATTTCTCTAATAAAAAAGTAAATTAAAATAAATATGTAATTTAGCTTTAATATAGGGTTCAATGTTCTTTTAGAATAAAGCTTGAAAAAACAACCATCCATCCTGATCCGATCTGGGACATAGAAAATAACATAACACAAAAACTGACAAGGGAAATGCAACATGTAAGATATGTCTAAAGCTTTCCATAACAGTATTAGTATATTTGAAACTGTCATGTGGCGGTTGATTATTAATTGTTTTGTTGTGTGGCTACAGCCTATAATTATGTCACACACAAATGCCACATGTGCTTTAATACATTTCCACACGATGGTAGCATAACACAAAAAGCGCAGAGTACCAGAGTCTGTAAGGAGAGAGCTTGTATCACCTGAACATTACACCTACAGTAGAGGGATGAATTCACGCCTGTAACTATGTAATAACACAATTAAGACCATTAGTTGCCAGTCTTATATAAAGGGATTTCAGAAGTTGGGGCCTGGCCAGTACTGTGATGGGAGACCGCTGTAATTCGGCAAATGCACACATACGTATGAGTGTGATTCTAAACTTGACTTTTCCCCAGGGCAGCTATGGCTCAGATGTAGCTATCAGGGTCAATGGGATAAATGTCAACTATGATTTCAGAGTAGTAGTCATTGCCAAAATAACATCTTATGAGGATCTATATATGTAACGTATTTGTTCCTAATGTTTGTTCTTCTGGACACATGACGTTATGTGTGTAAGTTGGTTCAAAATGATCACATTCATATCATGGAGTTATATTATTCATAACTCTATCATTAAGCAGTGTCTTTTAAATACTGTTTGCTCTCACTAGCCTCTCACTTGTCTTTGATTGATTAATCTGACCATGGGATCCTAAATATAAATTATTGATTTATCAGAAAAAAGCAAAAATGAGAATGGATGGAACACATTAACAGATCATTTTTAGAGAGCGCTAGTTCTCATTGGTTGTTGGCCGGTCTCTGGATGGACTGTTGGAACGTCATCTCCAACCTCGGCCACGTTCCGGAGCTGGCCCTAACAATCACTGACAACAGAGAAAGTCAGTCCCTGTTTTAGTTTGGTGAAATCTTTGTAATATTTCAGACATGGATCTATAGTCTGAGAGAAAAGTATTTCTTACTCGTATCATACGAGTAAGAATCATAGTATAAGTCATTTTTCTCTAACTTGGGTCCAGTTTGGGTCAGTCTCATGTCTGACTATAATCCAGGTGTAAATATTCCTTCACGGTGCTGTGGTCCCTACAGGAGGGTTAAAAGTAATCGTTTTGCATTTTAACTTGAGTGCAGATGCGTTGTCACTGACTCTCAGCACATAAAAGATTCATCCGGAAAACACATTTTCTGGGTTTTTCTGTACCCAAGAGAAAAGGGAAAAGGAATTGAATAGTGCAATCAAGTTGTGGGAAAAGTTTTTATTTATTGATGTCACTCGCTACTCGTGCAGTGAATGTGAATTATGGAAAATCAAAGCACTCTGTGGCCGATATACAGTGTGTCCTCATAAGATTGTGCAAAAAACTTTCACTCAAAATGTACTGTATATGCATTTATTATTAACGGTATACTCAGTGAGTTAACTAAGTCTCCTGTTTGTCCTGGTGAGTGGAGGGAGCTTGGCTGAACCGTGGTGTTTTTAGAGTGGAGTATCAAGGGTAATCAGCAAAGTTTCATGAATTACTTAAAGCCTGTATTATTTTGGTCCATCATTTAGATCATTTTATCCTTCTCCTCTTGTATATCTGCTTGGGTGGTTAAATGGACATACATCTCTGTCAATTAAAGTATTTATACATAGAAACATCACTTGCAGGTGCCATTGGGCATATGAATTCTGCATAAGGGTTTGGTAAAAGCCTGCGTTTCTCTTGCACATGTCTCTGTGTGAAGTGCAGACACTATTTAAACATTCCCATCATAGCGGTAATAGCCTGTTTTATGAGCCCAGCCTGAAAAAGTTGACTTGATATTTTGAGATGAATAATACTGCTGCATGTGCTCAGGACTCACAGCCAAAGATGAGAAACAGAATTTATAGTACATGCCATAAACTCTGTGATGAAAATGTAAAATATGTCCATTCGTGTGCCTACATTTCCATGCCCCTCATAAAATAGCCAAATAAGTCAATTTTTTTGGTGTGTGTCCCATACATACACAGTGGGACCCATCTCACTGAGCAAAAACACAACTTTTTCAACCAAAAACTTCGGGTAGCCTCATTCCACACTGAGCGATGCGTTGAGGGGGAACACTATGACCAGGGGTGCACATAACTTTTTCAGTGAGGTACTCAGATGAGTACCAGCACATGGCGTTTGGTACTCACTCCATTTGTCGCGCGGTTCTTAATTAAAATTTCATACTTGCTTCTTTATAAGGCTAAAGTTTAGATCAACTCAGATAATCCACTCAATCCAAGTCAAATAACCCATTAAGGCCTGCCGCCTGACACACCTGAGGTTTTCCTGAAATTCAACGTCTACAGAATGATTGATATCTCGGCCTCTGGAGCAGATAGAAACATAATTTCAAAAGAATTTGAGAGATGACACTTGTCAATAAAAATGCAGTGTATTATTATAATCCTTCAGTAGAATAATAAAAAGAATACACAACTTCCACACAGGAAAGGTAATAATAACAACAAACAATAATGTGAGACTAACACTGTTTCTCAAAACAATGAGTCAAAAAGAGTTTGGCAATAAAGTGGCATTAAAAAAAAAAAAACACTCTAGGCCCAAAAAGTCAAATAATGACTCACAGGGCTCTTTCTTAAGTAAGTAAAATTAAAAAAAACAAGACTGTTTTGGTTTGTTCTGTTTGATTTGGTCACAACATTTTACAGGAGCAGACTGAACAAGCTGGTCAGGAGGGCCAGCTCCACTCTGGGCTGCTCCCTGGACTCTGTGGAGGAGGTGAGGGACAGGAGGGTGCTAGTCAAAGCCACCTCCATCATGAACAATACCTCCCACTGCACAGGACTGTAGAGGAGCTGAGGAGCTCCTTCAGTGGAAGACTGAGACACCCTCAGTGTAGGAAGGAGCGCTACAGCAGGGCCTTTATCCCCACTGCTGTCAGACTGTACAACAAGTCACTGTATATGACTGAAAAAACCTGCACTACTATTGACACTATTTCTGATTGCCACTTTGAAATTGCCACTTTTTTATTGTACATAATATATCCTGCATTTAACATGTTAACATGCACATTTCTTCCCTTTTTGCACAATCTGCACCACGCCCCCCCAGGGAGGAGCGCCCCACTATTTGAGAAGGACTGGTCCATGTGAAGTACTCAAAGGCGCTTACTAACTCAAGTGATGGTACCATTTCTGATATTTGTCGCGCATGCGTACCTGCGTACCACTTACTGTATGTGCACCCCTGACTATGACCAAATTTAGAGGTAATTTTGACAAAAATAAAAACAAACTGTTTCATTCATTACATGTGAGTCAGGTGAAGAAGGTTCTAAAACTACGCACTACTACTACTACTACTAATAATAATAATATTCTGCATAACGACAGTGAGTAACAAGAATCAAGTCCTTACTGTTTTGCACGCGCTGCTTTTTCCTTTCTAAGGTCCTTGTAAAGAATGTGTTT